AAAAAAAAAACAAAGATTGGCAGGGACAAACTGCATTCAGACCCAGCATGGCATATCCCAGCAGAGGTGTTCTGATGGCCTGTGAGTTTCTGTGCCCAGAGGAGCTCATCACACACACCCTTCCTACAGCCTCACCCTCTGTGCCACTTGGGAGACAGACAACATGAACCCCTGGGCTCCTGAGAGCCCTTTGAGCATAAAACAAGGGCCAGTGGTGCTTTCTGAGAAGCTCTTGCCATACTGGTGTCTCTCAGTTGATGCTTTTTGTCTAAAGGGCCCACCTGAGTGGCCACAATCCCCAGGTGGCCCCGTGTGGTGTTCTGGGTTTCTTCTGATGCCCCCCGACTCACATCTGCCTTTTTACCCTCCTTCTGCCACAGATCCTGGCGCCCCTGTGAAATTGCCTTGTCTGCCAGTGAAACTGTCGCCTCCGCTACCTCCAAAGAAAGTCATGATCTGTATGCCTGTAGGGGGGCCAGACCTCTCGCTGGTGTCCTACGCTGCCCAGAAGAGCAGCCAGCAGAGCGTGGCCCAGCACCACCACACCGTCCTGCCCTCCCAGATCCAGCACCAGCTGCAGTACGGCAGCCACGGCCAGCACCTCCCCTCCGCCACCGGCTCCCTCCCCATGCACCCCTCGGGCTGCAGGATGATAGATGAGCTGAACAAGACGCTGGCCATGACCATGCAGCGGCTGGAAAGGTAACGGTGGGCTTGCGGGGAGGTCAGGAGGGGAGAGGGCAGGGGGCTGGGCAGAGGGCACTGGGGGGTTAGACCACGACTGTGGAATGTGGACCAGGGCTTATCTCTATTGGAGGAAAAAAAGTTTGAAAAAAACTCAGACCAAAAACTGAGTGTCAGAGAAAGCATGGAAGAGCAAAGTAATGTTGCCGGTTGACACACTATAGAAGAATCTCATTTATGAACAGGAGACGTAGCATAGACATTTATACATAAATATGAACTGTCCTCACTTAAAGTAGTGGGTTAGTGGAAACTGCAACTTTAACAAAACGATGTATGTGATGAAAATGTGTATAATGAAACCGGTTTGACCATAGGCTAATGGAGACGTGCAAGAGGGAAGTTCCCACTGTGTATTTCTCATCACAAAAACATCGCCGAATATATAAACAAAGACCAAAACACTTCTGATGCTAAAAATTCAAATCAACGTGAGCAATACGTTCATTTAAGAAAGATTAGTAGCAACAAAGAAGATCCTTATTTGCCCCAGTTAGTATAGCTCAGGTTTATGGGTAGCTGGCACCCCTCCTGGCAGCTCAGCCCTGGACAGGACACCATCCTATCTCAGGAGGTGCTCTCACACCCAGCCTCCCACACTCACTCAGTTGGGGATCATGTAGACGGTCTAGTTCACCTGCCGTGCACAGTGTTGGGATATAGGAGGAAACTGGAGTCCCTGGAAGAAACCCACACAGAGGGGAAAATGTGCACAGTCCAGGCAGACAGTAGTCTCTGCTGGGAATGAGGTCGTTTTTCTTACCAGTGTTATAACAAAATGACATTAAACAAAATAGCCTTATTCTGGGACCTATTGCATGTCCATGTATGTGTGTGTAGACGCACGCACACCAGTGCATATCATGTTTCTATAAACATGAGCATTTTGTAAAAGGATGTCCATGTAATCATTAACAGGGTTCACCCCTGGGGTGGAGAAATGGAGAGAAAATGCTTTTATTTCATGTCTTTCTGCACTGCTTACTTTTTAATTTTGTATAGATTACCTTTATGATAGTCAGAAGACAATTTAAATGTAAAATAAGAAAAGACGAGAGCTGGTGGAGGGAGATAGAGGGGCTGGGAATAGTGGACAGATGCACCTGCCCTTGCTGGCGGAGGGAGCCGAGCGCTGGAATCCGACCACATGGTGTGAACCTCTCATTTTTGGCAGCCACTGCGGCAGCCGCCTCTTTCACCAGAATCTGCCTCCCACAGCTCTTGTGGGAGACCTGCAAAGAAGACCCCCAAGGTCAGGCCTGCTGCAGGGGCCCTGATTCCCCCAGGCAGGGGAGAATCTCTCAAACTGGTGGCTCCGCCTCCTGCCCACAGAGAGACTGGGATTTCCCAATATGGCTCCAAGGCACTCTGCTTGACTGCATTTCCTGGCATTATAAGGAGAAAGTGTTTTGATCTGAAGTGAGGGTGTGTCTGACTGGGACCAGAATGCTTGTTCCAGAGGAGTGACTGCTGGTCACTGGGTCCTGTGTATGGGAAAATTGCAATCTGGAGGGCTCAGCAGATCCCTGGAGCCAAAGTCAAAGCAGACAAAGGCAGGACCTACAAGCTATGGTTTCCTGACCCTCGGTGTCTTTCTCTGCTCCTGCCTTTCAGTGAAGAATTCTGTGTTTGAGAAATTAGTGACTCACAGAGAAGTTGTTGTCACTAGGAATTCTGACTCGATCACTTTGTGTTAACACCTACCCTAGCTGCAAAAAATCCCCCAACAACCAAAATTTGACCTGGCCCCTTGCCATCATTTTCAAGTACTCTTTTTATTAATTAGAGCAATAATAATTTAAAGTATGAGCAGCTCCTTTTAATCTGTTACACATTCGTACACATCATCATCAAGGTGATCGTGATCATCTTATCTAAATTTGCACTATCTAGGGAGACTGAATAAATGGAGGAACTTAGGGAGGCTGAGTAAGTTCTCCATGGCTACCTACTCAACAGTACAACTGTTCTTCCTGTCTATGAACTGTTCTTCATAGACATTTGAAAAGCACTGCCCTAGGCGGTGAGTTGATGGGCTGGCCTTCAAGCCAGGGTTTTCCTGCTACAAGAGCATAGCTGCTTCCCATAGACAAGTAGCAGTCAACATCTCTGCCTACCCCGCTACCTAACGGGTACCCAGTAAGGTTTTTTGTTTTGTTTTGAGACACAGTCTTACCCTGTTGCCCTCAGTAGAGTGCTGTGGCATCACAGCTCACAGCAACCTCAAACTCTTGGGCTTAGGCAATTCTCTTGCCTCAGCCTCCCAAATATCTGGGACTACAGGTGCCCACCACAATGCCCAGCTATTTTTTTGTTGCAGTTTGGCTGGGGCTGGGTTCAAACCCACTACCCTCAGTATATGGAATCGGCGCCCTACCCACTGAGCCACAGGCGCCAACCCCAGTAAGTTTTTCTATCTTTTGTGAGCTTTAATCTGAAAAAGATACTCATGACAGTATAGTAATAGGATATTGCTAAATATGCTTCCACTTAAAACTTGCCATATTAAAAGCTTCAATTGACAGTGCTGATAGACAAGTTTCATAATCTCTGTAGGTATTTGTGGAATATTTCAGTTGAGTTTAGAACACTGGATAGGTCTGTTGAAGTACGGAGAATGTGGGGTGCACAGCATGATCTTGGCAACTGAACCAAGGTAGTCCTTATGCTTTGTGCCACCCCAGATTCTTGTTACCTCCTTCCAATCTCCTCTCCTCCCCCTTGAGGTGAGGATAGGGCTGTCCAAATGGACCAGCCAGGACACAGGGAATTAATACATGCATCACTTTGACAAGATCACCCCCCCCCCAAGAGGAAGATGCCTTCTTCCCAAACAAATAAATATGGGAGAGATTTTTCTCTTCATATCCCGTCATCTCTCAGGAGTCCTGGAAGAATCTGAGAGCAGGACAAAGTCACAGGCCATTTTCAGTGTAGGGAGGGAACTCCTGGCTTTCAGGTGATATTGCCCTGCTTTTGCTGCCTAAAAGTCTCCTATGTTGATCAGTTGCCTGTCAACATGATCTCATTCTTGTTTTAACCAAGTTTCATGCAAAAGGAGTTATTTCTTTATCCTCCAGGCAATTTCCAGTAATCCCAAAAAACTCTGCAAGAAAGGAATGACATTGCAAAACACTTAGACATTCTGCCTGCAAAGATCCTTGGACCCACCACTGTTTGTACCATTAGATCTGTCTCATGGACCAGAGATCTGTCTCATAGATCATCAACATGGGGCATCAGTCCAGACCAATGGCCCATCCTGCTGAAGACGTTGTAGGTGATGTGAAAATTGAATAATGAATTACCCAGCATCAGGACCTGACATCGGACCATACATTTGCACAGCTGGTCATCTTATAATTGAAAGAGGCCTGGGAGACCATCTAGCCCCTAGATGGTCAGGCAGGGTTCCTGACCATCTGTCCCTCAGACTTTACTTGAACAGGCCCTCACTGGGTCCCAAGATAGCCTGCTCCATTGTTGAGAAGGTCTGACTGCCACAAAGTTCCTTCTCAGATTAAAAGTACTGTTTCTTACAGTTTATGTCTATCCTCCCAATCTTATTTCTAACCTCCCTTTTTGGTAAAAAGGCTTTTAAATCCTTAAAGAGAGCTGCCATTCCCTTTAAGTGCTTCTAGACCCTTCACCATCTTGTGCCTGTTCCCCTCTGCTGAATCTGTTCTGATTTGTTTGGAGAAGTTCTTAATCATTACCCCAACTAAGGCTGCTTGATGGCACTAACCAGCGACTTGTAGTGATGTACAGATTTGGCTCACCAGATTTGGGGGGAGGGCGTCAGAATGGGGGAAGTAGAGACCAGTGAAGCAAAGTTAAAGGGGGTTCATATTCCTCCCCCTCTAGAGTCACAGGGCTGCCCTAGGTAGTGTGACTGAGTTAAAGGCAGCCCCCACCTCACAATGACTGTGTGGGTTCCAGGATTAACTGCCAGAGTTTGAATCTCGTGCATACCATGCATTAGCTGCATGACCCTAAGCACATCACTTAACCTCTGTTTGCCTTTCATTCCTCATCTGTAGAATGAGGATAATGATGGTAATAGTACCACCAGCCTCATGAGGGTCATTTGTGAGGTAGGACACAGTAGGTGTCCAAGAAATGGTAGCCAGTGCCAAGCAAAATGAGTGAGCACATGAAATTTCTCTCCTGTGCCCCTGAAAGGCATATTGCAAATGGTTTTGATCCAGTCTTGGAGGAAATTTTATTTGTTTGGGTCGTTTTCCTCAAATTAGATTGTCTTTATTTCTTTCCACTAGTGATTCATACCTTTTGTGAAGGTGATGTTCTATCATTCCAAATATTATGCCACTGTTTGTTTTTCATATCAGCAATAAGGTCTGTGATTTAGTTGGCTTCGGTCCCGGAATTCAGGCATAAAATCCTCATCAGCCACTAATTTCCTTTCGGATCTTAATTCAGCTCTGTGCTCCAGGCTCCTGTTAGTAAAGTGAAGGTGGGACGTGGACCCTTCCTTGTTGACCCTGAAGGAATGTGAGGGAGATGCCTAAGGAACTGCAGTCTTTAAAGAAGTCCTTGCCTTCTCAACTAAAGCCAATCTCATGCTTCTAGTTGCTCACACCAACAATCTGGGGTTACCCTTGATCCCTTTTTTCTCTCATACCCTACATCTGACCATCAGCAAGTCCTGCCCAGTCTACATGGAGAGCACTTGTGGCTGGGAGCCCCCACTTCCCACCTGCTTCTGCCACCCCTGGTCTAAGCCTCCAGGGTCCTCACCAGCTTGCTGCAGTGCCTCCGACCTGGTCTCCTGAATCTGATCCTGCCCCTTCAGGCCACCCCCAACAAAACAGTCAAAGAGATGGAGTTTCATAAAATCAGATCATTTGCTAGGGCTACTAGCAACAAAGTCCAGCACACTGGGTGACTGACCCAAGTTTATTATCTCTCAGTTCTAGAAGCTGAAAGTCCAAGATCCA